TCAATAAATCATAAAAAATTATGAATCTAGATAGCCAGGCGTTTTTGTTTACATTTTAAAATAAAAATTCAGCAAATCGGTTAAGTAGTTCGAACGAGATCAKGTCSGCCAGTTTAAAAAAGTGTGTTTTGAGAAAAGCGCGTCTAAAGTTTAGAGAACTGAAAAAGCATACAAAGGTGGACATAAACGTTGGAAAAAGCGTTGAGCCGTATTATTATTTTTGGGCTTTTTCTAAACCTTCCAATGGTAAAATTGGAACAGAGATCCAAAAAAAAAAAAATAAAAATCCCTTAACTAAGCCGCGCCAATATGGTCGCCTGGATGCACTTTGGACTATAACAAGAAGTCTCTTGGTGTCTCCTATCGAACATCTACAYAGTGAGGCCTTAGTTAAATAGCATAATGAACTCCTATCCACTAACAAGGAGTGAAATTGACTAAGACAACATATTTTTAGGTTTTACTCTATCTGATTTATTATTAATACTCAAAGGATTCCTCTTCCCAATGCGATAAGTAGATGTTAAAAAGCGGTTTGTCAAAGTGACTGCTATTTCGAAGAACTTCACTTTACGGTCTTCCAAAATTATTTTGTGGACTTTTGTGATGTTTGCGTCGGTAACAACTTCTTTAGGGCGTCCAATGTGTTCACCGTCTCCGGTGCTCATTTCACCACGTCTACCAATCCTTAATGGTTAATTTTATTGCGGCAGTATCCGGAAACCCGCCAGTGTTCGGAAATTCGCCGTCAGGTCGAGCTATTTTACTTAGTCTATCATTTCCCTATTGGCAAAAAAACTGGAACAGTTACATAAGTACTGTTATTATTTCATGGAATATCAAAAAAATATGGTTGGACGGCTTTCTTTCTTTTATCGATATTTTGACAATTGGTCTACCAGAGCGTGTTGCATCTTCGACATGAATACGGCTGGATCGGAATGGATGAAACCGAAATTTTGTGGGATCAGGACTGCAAACACTACTCACATCTCCAGGCGCTTGGCTTGCATTTTCGCCTTTATCGAAGAAAAATGTTAACCAATATATGKCATATTTTCTCAATAGTGACGCTCATCGTTGGAGACTCTTGAAATAATGTTTGGTTAAGCAATCACAAAACCATCTTTAAAGTCCTTTAGTAGGAAATCTTATCTTATCTTATCTTACAAAACGATAGACAGTTTTATAAAGAAACTTATTTGAAAAATAATTAATTCCTTTTTGCTTTAATTTATATTTCATATTTAATACTAAAGGCCAAATGCAATTAAAAGACGATTTTTTACAATTTCGACCGAAATGCAAAGAGAGAAATTGCTGATAAGGCGTAAGAAATGCAAAAACCTGAAACGTATCACTTTAATTTAACTACTAAAAATTAATTATACAAATTTATGAGGAATTAAATACGCTTTAAGATAAGAAGTAATGGAATAATTATGCATGACGATGAAGCTTACATATATCAAATAACAACAAACAACAATAGTAGCAGAAGCATTTCATAAACCATATATACATATCCATATGCATGTATATACATATGTATATTCATGTGAGGTAGCATTTAGCCACCTGCTGGGTGGTATTTGCTTTCGCTGAAAAAGTAGCGCTCATTATGCGGTCACACATTTACCATACCATACAAGTGAATAGAAGAAACACTTACCAGTTTGAATAAAGCAAAGCAAAACCAACAGATTTTTGCCCCATATATAGTATACATTCAAATACCTATGTATGCTTCTACATGTAGCAAATGACCACGAAATTATGAATGACCTACAGTTAGTTAGTGGGGCGAAAATTAATTAAAACATAATGGGCGTTATACACGCACCAACAACAATGACGAAGGTGGCGTCTCAAAGGACTGGTTCTTTATATTATGAAGGGTGGATAATAGCARCATTTGATTTGTGGGAGGCCACGGTAAAATCGTGCTATATTTAGTTTGGTTTATGATGAACCAAGAAAAAATACCCTTCACAAACAAACAATTTTCTATACAAGCACATACAAAAGTACCTACTATGTRTGCTATCGTGCTTCGATTTGTTTTTGTTCGGAAATTCCAGTACAGCTTGGGGCATTAGTCCTTGCAAATTTGGTGAAGATATCCTTTCAACCAGGCTTTCAGGTTTTCCATGCAAGAACTTTTTTCTGATGGTACAGTTTGTATAGCGGTTACTACTGCGCGAAAATCTCGTAAGACCTTGTTCATAATTACAACGTTGCGGAACGATATTGGTTGAAAATTTGGGGAAAAACTCACGAAGAATCCATTCACTATGCGGCGGTGTATTATCGTGGTATAAAAACCAAGAGTTGGCCCATAATTATATCCTCTTTTATGAAAAATATACAAGATGCTTTCCAAAGTAAACAGGACTTACAAAAAAAAAAAAAAAAAAAGAACAGCAATGGTTTTTTCGGCAAAATCAATTTATTTTATTCAAATTAGTCTTCTTCTTCATCAATATAGCTTTTTTCACGGTTCAAAAGCACGTCGAACGAGTGTTTTAGATTGTTGGCCGGTGCAAGCCTTTTGAATGAACTCTACGTCGGCATAACGCTTTCCGTTCATGGGCAAATGCTTTTTCCGAATCGGAAGAACACGCACGGTGTCATATCAGGTGAATACGGGGAGTGGTTAATGGTGAAAATGTGATTTTTGGTCAAATAATTGATAACAAGCGTGCTTCGAATGTTGGATTCTGAGCAATTTTTGGTCGTCAGTCAATTTGTGCGGAACAAACCGTGCACACACATTTCGTAAGCCCAAATGTTCGCTCAATATGCGATAAATCGGTGTTTTGGAGATGTTCAATTCCATTTCCTTGAATTTCTATGATGATTTCGGCTGATTTTTGATGAATTCACGCGCAGTTTCAATGGAATTTCCGGTGATCACGGATTTTGATTGGCGCAAATGTTGATCGTCATTTATGTCCTCACGATCGCTTTTGAAAACGTTGAAACCACTCGTGAACTCTGCTACGGGATAGCATCGCCATAAAGTTGTTTCATCAATTGAAATGTTTCGGTAAAAGTTTTACCAATTTTAAATCAAAATTTAATGTTGGCTCTTTGTTCGAAGCTCATTTTCGCATCGATAACACAAACATACTGACACTTAAAAMGCAATAACTTCACTTTCATTTAATGGAATGACATGAAATTCTCACCAGGCAATYGATRGAGRYAGCAGATTYTMACRCAMCWGTCGACATATAGATGGCGCCACCAGGTGGCGCTAGATTCAAAAAGTCCTCTTTACTTTGGAACGCTCCTTGTGTAGAGACAAACAGAGAGATAATCTTCGTTGCATATTTAATATGGCCTGTTCAGGATATAGTAACTAAGTAAATGCATCAATTCTTCTTCTCAGAACTACATTAAATATAAGTTGAAACTGAACATAAGTGGACACTAAAGAAAGCGTTTATTCCTTAAGTTAATGCTATGGAGAAAACTTTTTTTGCAAACTGTTTGATCTGAAATTTTCCAACTTAGTAAAAAGATTTTAATTATAAGGAGAAAGCCAGCTTAGTGTTTTAATTTGCAAAATATGTGTAATGCTGGAATAAAATCTTTTAGATTACCAAATAACTGCTAAACACTTGAGATTATTGATTAAAGATCRCCAACTTTTTTGAAGTCAAAGTCACAAGTCACAGCATTTTCAGTAAAACATATTTATCTGGAAGCCTAGACTTTCTCTCAATATTTAACATCATATTGATGGCTACTTTCGATTTGAGAACTCTTATAGCTTAATAGTATTGAATGTCTTCTTAGAGATATCGAATTCTCTAAAGGGGTGGTTGTTAAAACAGCTGCCAACTGAAAATKACCAGTTTAAATTGAAGATCCTAGTGTCAGCCTCAATGCTGAGCGCTACTTCCATTGATTGTCGAGCTTCTGGTTCTCYTCGTCAACAAAAAAATATTTAAGTTTTATATGTGAACCGAATCCTTATATGATCCTTAAGTTTCTTTTTTTGGTGTACTATATGTACTCTAAATAACCTATACTGTATATTGTTCGAACTCATAAAGTCAGATTAATTGGTAATAATCATATAGGAAATAGTCCCAGTATTGGARGAATTTAAAAATGTTCATATCAATTCTGGCTCTTTAAAAGAATCTCCAGTTTCGAGTATGCCTTTTCTGGTAAGCTATCCTGTTTATCACAGCCTGGCCACAACTTTAAATTTATATACGAGTKTATTATGACTACATTGGAATATATGGTAAACTCTCCAAATCAACGACAACTTAAAATTGAACGACAAATTTCTTTAAATTATCTACTTGTTCTATTTTAATATATGTAAGAATTATAATTTAAAAAATTCAGTGATTTTTTATATGTTTCATGTAAAGGTTGACGGGAAACMAAACATACTATTATATGTTAACACATCTATTTAAAGAGAGATATGGCATTTTTTGATTTACAGAACTTAAACAGAGCATAACAGCTCTAAATGGCATTTTTCGCCACAAGCTGATATTTTTTAATAAGACTGCATGTTCATCAGACAATTAGTCCTGGCCTAGATATTGTATTAACGTTACTAAATATAACGAAAACCTACAAAAATTTATAACGACATTAACCCACATTAAACGTGACTCTAATCTACTATAAGTTCTCATAATTTGCGCAGTCTCACTTTCTTCGAAAATATTTAATGCTGGTAGCAGCTCGGCAGAGACTATATCTATATTACAAAGCAAATTTAGAAACACAAATGTCTTCATATAAAACTTATACACAAAATTTGGGGAAACACTGCGCTTTATATGTTTCATAAAGTACACACTTTAATATTTTTTTCTTATCGACCTATACCACTTTAACTTATAATAAAAGAAATTTCAAATTCTACACAATTAAATACTTAGTCATCAACTTGTACTTAACAAATAGTGTGAAAACTAATGTTAAATGCATACAATATTGGTAACACAGCTCTAATTGGTTAATGCGGTTCGACAGTATGCAGCTTAGGAGGCGTTACTTTCCAAGCAATTACCAAATACTTAATTACAAGGTTAGCAATCTGAAGTGCATTCATAAGACAAAAATTAGTTAAAGATAATATGAAATAAACTGTTTAGCATTTAAATTTGGTATAAAAGCACAGGTCGCCAGCGCAGTAAGCACAGTTTACCTCGATCTATCACAGTTGTTAATTTGAATTGAAACAATGGGCTCCAAGGCGAGTTCGATTGATATATTTATTTTATAAATATATTAGAATAGAAAATTCTCAAACTCCCTTTTTTTCGGTAGATTTTCGCTGCATTAGTATGTTGCTTAGCGCTGGTGATGGTCAGTGCCTTACCACACGGCCATCATGGACATGATCATGGAGGTCACAGTGCTTCCAGTCACGCTTCGGTGCATTTAGTCTCACACGACGATCATCACGATGATCACGGTCATCACGGTCACCACGATCATCATGGACACGGACATGGACACGACGATGGTCATGACTCACATGCTGAGTATCACTTCAATTATGGCGTTAAGGATACGAAAACGGGTGATATCAAAGAGCAGAGTGAACACCGTGATGGTGATAAGGTRTCCGGACATTATGAACTGATTGAAGCGGACGGCCACAAGAGAACTGTGCACTATACGGCTGACAARCATAGTGGTTTCCATGCGGTGGTGCACCGTGAACCCACACACCATCATGTAGCTGATCATGGACACACCAGTTATCATGGTGGTCACGCCGAAGTTGAAACGCACGATGATGGTGGGGATGGTGGTCATGGCCAYGGTCATGATTCTGGACRTGGYTATGGACACGGTCATGATCACGGTCATGATCATGGTCAYGGTCATTCCAGCGRTTTCTCAATCAAACAAGAACATGGTGTTGCGGTTCATCATCATGGTGGACACGATTTCGGAGGACATGGTCATGGACATGGACACTAAATAATTTAGATAGACAAATTTATAACGAATGCTTGTTGCTCTTACATAAAAAAAAAAAAAAAATGTAATCGAATTTAATTCCTTTTTGAAATTTTATATCATGTTAATAAAGTTAGTTGAAATTAAAAAAATAGTTGTTCAAAAGTTATTTGGTTTGGAATATGTAATAATGGTTACTTTATGCAATTATTTAGAAAATATCTAACAAGAAGCGAATTTTGCTCTTTTAAAGCTCAAAAGTAATCTCAATCGCAATTTACGATTTTTGCGCTTATGAGCATATTTAAGGATAGTGTTTAAGAAATTATGCAAGTATTGCCCGTGAGATTACTAAGTATATTCACAATATAGTCTACTCTCGACGAACTCGCTTATATTCCAAACATTATAGGACTTGAAACAACACTTTAGGTTTGGCTTCTACAGGCTTATTATAGAGAAAACTTCATAAAACAGAATCGTTATCAAGATTTCCAAAAAAAAAAAAAACAGTTGGATTTTTATCTGCCAAAATATTGTAAATTCTCAAGTGAAGTGGACCAATATTTTGTTGCTTGTTTAAGAAACCTGTGAAATATCTTTGTAAAGAGATTCTGGTGATTGCCCATTTTTGGATATATACAACATTGGAATAGCTATTTCTTTACAGTTTTGGAAACGAAAAATCTGAATAAAGAGACTACACTTTCGGTTGGGATTTTATCATCATGGAACAAAATTCTTACATAATGACAATATGTGACATAAAAACTAATTTAGATGAATAGTGATTAACTTAGCACAAATTGATTTTATAATATTATATGTGCTAACTCTGTAGTAAAATCGGTTGAAATAATTTTAAAAATTTTCAAGCCGCTATACATCCAATATTCGGGAATTTCGTCCTCCGAGTTAAATTTTTGTCGAGTACGTAGATTAATATGTTATACTTGTATATATTGTAAATGAAGTTATGCCTAAATTTCCTTCGCAAAATATTCCACAGACACCCTATAAATCGCACGTGAAATAAGAGAGTCACACACCTCCTCAASGACTTCATTTCTAAGGAAMGCCAAATMATTTAAAATACTTTTTCGCATTAATKGCTTTATTTGCTCCAAAGGCATRCATACGAGTATATTTACTCCTACACACGCGCACGCTCCCATTATGCCCTCCAATTCCATCCACACGATTTATGCACACATGTGTACACCCACGTAGACAACGTGTAAATCCTCYCAGAAGAGAGTGTGTAAACCGCCTGTCAACCAATTTGGCTGTTTGAGTTCGATTGTTTTTATCGGCTTACATTTAAAAATAAAAGCGCAGAGATTTAGCTGTGATTTAGCTTCCAAGATTTTGGTGTGGGTATTGGGCGGTGGGAGTAAAGGGAAACACAAAAAGTATGTTAAAGTATGTTAAAGTAAGAAATGAAAACAAAATGAAAGAAAAAGTTACAAATAAAATGTTGTTTMCTGGAAATCGAAGTCTTAAGCGGCCGATTTTATTGTTTTTAAAGTGATGTACCTACTAAAATTCAGTTTTCAATTGTAAAAAATAACATAAAATATTAATTTGAAATATAGTGTAAATGAAATTAAAGTAAAAAAGTAAAAATTATAATGTTTTCATCGCATGTCAGTCTCTTATATTATATTTCAAGCTCATTTTGTAAAGCTCACTATCTTTCAATTGATTTATCTATAGCTGATTGTGTTTTGTTTTTAATTTTTTATATTTTTGATTAATAGTTGACTAATTAATAAATAAATAATTTTGATTCCTATATGTATAAAACATTTCTTTACCGCAAAAAGTACCGCTATCAAGTGTAGTCAAATATGCACAATGCTTGAAAATTTTCAATTGTAAGATTTGCATGGCCACGAGTGTCTAAAACCAGCTCTTTTTAAGCTCTCGCAACATGTTGAAGCAGATTATAACAGTTATTARTAACCTTATGGGCTTCATAGATATCGGTGTAAAAATTTGACAATGGACCGCCCACCTTTAGGTGAAATCCTTTTCAGCAACCACTGTACCAATTGGTACTGCAATATCTAATAACCAATTAAGATGTCGAAATAAAAGTTGGCAAACATAAAGTAGATATTTTATCTCACGTCTAAAAATTTTAGAAAATCGGACAATAATTTCTGAAAATATCGGTCAATATTTGTGGTATAAGAATTATTGGAAATCGTAGAGAATAGTTTATTACTAGTAATGTRTATACTATCAAAAATGTGTAAATCGGGCTAATCAACACGATTAAGAATATTAAACTTCCGGTTAGCTTTATACAATATACATATATGGAATAGAATATTATATACATATAGTGGTGTGTTATTCCAAGAAAAYTAACTGAATTAGTTCGCTGAAGCATACGAGTAATGTGCTTAGATCTGAATAATGATTAAATCAGTAGGACCCCAGTCTAAGCACCATGTTCTTAAAACCTTGTTTCCTTCTGTGGTTGAGCTTATGTATATCTAAATCTTTATCTAACAATATTATGTATTTCGGTAGTAATAATTATGCTACAACTTTACACAGAAGTAGTAAGATGGATATAATCATTCTTCTAAGTTCGATTGATGTTCAGAGCAAACTGAAGATATAGAGGGAACACTTCTCTAGCCTGCTTAACGGCAATGAAAATGTAACAACCGGAGCTGGCTAGCCCGATTCCCCAATCGATGACAATGCGATASAAGTAGATGTTCCATTGCCCAGCTATGATTGTCGGATGAAAGCATGCCGGTCGMTTGGAACCTAAGAGTGTTCGGCTCAATCCACCAAAGGGAGACTATCCAAAGTGCGCTAATTATTGTTTCCAATAAAGTCTTATCGTGCTTAATGTGTTAAAGACTGAAGCCCACCATCAACAAACTGWTTGAACCTTATCATTGTAGCTTTAGACCTACAAAATCTTCTATCGACCAGATTTCCAGCAGGCGCCAAATCWTGTAAAGGACACGTGAAAAGGATCTTCTTTGTCGATTTAAAGTTGCTTTTGACTGYATAAAAAGGAGCAACGTCTATACCGCTATGTCTGAATTTGGTATAACCGCAAAGCTAATACGGCGGTGTAAGTTGACGTTGAGCAACACCAAAAGCTCCATCAAGATCGGGAAAGATAGGGAAGGACCTCTCCAAGCAGTTCTATACTAAGCGAGGTTTCAGACAAAGGTACTCCCTATCGTGTGACTTCTTCAATCAATTGCTTGAGAAAATAATAGTACGAGCTTATGAGCTAAAGAGAGAAAGCAGAATTTTCTATAGTACAGCTATACAGCTATGGGCGTACGGTGATGATATTGATATCATTGGCCTTAACATTTACACCGCTCATTCTGCTTTCTCCAGAGCAGAAGTAATCTTGTCAACACATACTACTTTCAACTGATCAAGCAATTGAAAAGTAAWGTTCTCTCTCGACGAATAAATATGAAACTCTATATGTCCTTCATCATTACCGTTCGGCTATATGGTAGGGAGGCATCCTCATCTSATGAGTCGTGAGAAAAATTTTGCGTATTGAAATTTATGGTCTCCTATGTAATGGCAAAGCGGGTACTGCAATCGATTGGAACGATGAGCTATAAAAGATATACGACGACATTGACATAGTCAGCTCATCAACAGCTCATCTTCTACGTCCCGCACATGTTATGGTCGATCATAACATTGCGACACGGCACTCCTCATAGGATCAGCTATTATTTTCTTACTTTTGTATCGTTTCGGTTGCAGCTGTACTTAAAGAGCTTCAAATGCCGTCCACARACCTCTTATACTGAGTTGCTGACGAATGCTCTCAGAGATTGCAGCTTCTCAACGTCGAACCTTCCTCATGTTTGTTGACGTGCGTTTTTTTTCTGCACATAGACGGGTGGGTATCATAGCTGCAACAAGATAGTCATGCAAGTCGATATTAGGATCTCTATGATATACTGTGAAAAAGGTTCTCAACTCCATCTTATTTATGACTGCTCTGATCCTTCACTGTACAGTATATAAAACTAGACAATGAAATAGGAACAATACCCAAATGATGCCTTCTCGACACGCCTTCCTTCCTAAATGTGGTTGAAATCAGGCTACATAGCTGTTATATTAATGAAGTGACAACTGTCCATTATGTGGCAAAACTAGTTATAATGGA